AATCTTCAAAGATTTTACGTACAAGCACAAATTGGCGCAACAGACGTATTTTAGAAGCATGGGAAATTGACACTTGTAGGAATCCGCTGAACCGTGGTGATGGCATGTATTTGCCGCTCGAATTTTTAAATTTAGCCCTAAGGGACAGAACATAATTAGCTCTGATTTGCCGATTTGCATAGTATAAGAACGTGTCTTTTTAACAAATTCCTTGTCACTTTCCCCTAATAAAGGCTGAAGTTTTAGCCGAAACGTTGGGACTTTTACAAAAAAAATTTTTTACTAACATTTTTACATTTTTTAAACCGGAGTAACGTTTTTCAATCATGAATTTTGAGTTCTTGTTTTTGAAAGTATTATAACGCTTTACTTTCCCGCCCCCTATTCTTCCAGGATCCCCCCCTGTCCCCCCCCCGGCACTAGTATGGGCGCTGCGCAACGCAACATTGTCATCATAATTTTACCCATAATTTTAAGAGTTAGTTTCCTTATTGGAAGCCGATTTTCCTATCTGCATTTCATTTATTTGCAGCATCATTTCTACAGTCCATCAAATTGTAATAGAGTATACGAAATTAACCATTTCTCTTCCAGTACAAGTTTCGCGTGACATTATATCGCAAGCTTTGAACCGGCCTCCCACACATTTTTCTGACGGTCCATCACTGCTGAAGGTGTCACCCGCCTCGGGCCCTGACCAACACTCACCTGAAGAAGAGCAAGCAAAAGAGAAAGGCTTTCACTCGAATGAAAGATTCATTCAACTAGTTATACATACAAAGTTGATCCGAGTGTCAGTAAGGGGTGTATTTGGAGTAAGTATGTGATAGGGGTGGTAACAAGCCCACCGTATAAATAGTCTTACCATAATTCTGAACACCGAAGAGAGAGTACTTCTTTTCCTTAGCTTTTGCAGCGCAGCGACATACAATGTCATTCAGGTACTTGTCCCATTCTCCCCAATTAACTTTAATGCCGCTGAACTTGGGACTCTTCATATCACGATCCGTCATGAGAAGCGCAGGGAGTGGACGACCATGCTCTAGTTGTTTATCATTGAAGCAGCCAACAGGTGTGAACGGAACTGAACAACGTGCGTCTACAAAACAATCCAGCGCCTGGTTAGTCTCCTGCTTATTGGTTTCATTTACTGGCATTCACGTGATTCACTAATCATGCTGCATATTGATGGTCTACCGTTTAGTAGCTACTAGTTGTCATGAAACAAACTGTAACGGTACTTTATTGAAGGAATTTTTGAAAAAAACCATTTGAACTTACTTTGCATTCTTCGAGGCCTATAGGCTTAAATTATAGGCTTAGGACAGGTGCTTGAGAGAGACAGATATTAAACATCCTGTTGTTGGTTTGAAACAAATTAGCAAACAAGTTAAAAGTTCTACAGATCTGTAACCCACGAATGAGTTCATATTTGAAGGGGCCTTGTAACTGACCTCTGCATCTAAGATAAGGAGGACCTATGCATCTAAGATAAGGAACCTTAGTCTTTATTAAGTTGTAATTTCCTCGTTTGTACAAAGACAACGATCGAAAATAGTTTGCAAGGAATGCCTGTCATACACTGGTAGGATTACCTTCAGTCTTTTTTATTGCATATATATAATTGACATTTCTTCTGCCGACACACTCCTTGTCTGTGGCTTTTGGATCTCTCGGACACGGCTGATAACCGCTGGTCACACACTGCCTTTCTCCAGCAGGTCCAAGTTTGTCGTATGTTTCGCCGGCATCTGGGCTTGACCAACATTCTCCTGTTAGGATAGTAAACGTAAGGAATCAAACTTATTATTAAAAACTGGATCATATATTGGATAAAACACTTCAAGAGTTTTGACTGGTTTAGCCATCATGGTATATGAGCCATTATACCATGCTCTACAAATATGGTAAGCGTGCGCGTAATTTTCTGGCCCGTTGTTAATTTTAATTTCATTTTAGTTTTCTATGTTTTGGAGGCGTTTTTAATAAATCAATTATTTCACTCATGCTTGTCTATCTCCACAAGTTCTGGGTCGATGCAATGTTACAACCTGCAAACCATTTAGGAAGGTGGCCAAACTTCGTTTGATATATATTAACAAAAAAAGATAAATTATGGCACTACATGCAGGATCTGTTAAGTAGATAAGTTTAAGTAAGTGAAAAGCATGCTGTACGTACCGTACTGTTGTAAACCAAAGTAAGTGTACTTGTGTTCCTCAGCCTTCTCCGCACATCTACATGCTAAACTTGGCAAATACGAGTCCCAGTTCCCCCAGTCGATATTGACATTACTGAAAACCGGAGATTTAGGATCCCGATCAGTTAGGATGAGTTTCTCTAAAAGCCGAGGCGCCTTCACTGTGTCTTTGTAACATCCAAGTTTCTGATACTTGACATGGCAGGTGGGTTCGGCGGCTATGAACAAGTAAGGCGGGATTGAAAAAACGAGAGAATGCTGCATTAGCAAGCTAAAGTTTAGGCCTTTGATATCGTGCGATTTTATTTTCCACAACTCTACGATATATATATTACCTGATTACCAATAGGATGAGGTTTTCCCGACAAATGGTTTTAAGCCTCATTGAGTATGGCATGCCCCATGCCCCCGACTGCTGTCAATTGCACTAGACCTTAATTTCTGAACTTTCCCAACTTAAGATTTATAGACTAATCTGAGCGAATACGTTAAGATGATTGCAGTATTTTTAATTATGGGTGTTTTTTTCTACATCTTCACAGGTATCGCACTAATCTATCAATGAACGATATGAGCCAACCAATGACTCTTCAGGATCGTTATCAGACCTCTTCTTATTTCTTATGAAATATTTAGCCAATCCAGCCAATCCGGCAGATAACAACTCGTAGTTTTATAATTTAGTGATTACATCGCAAAAATTGTAAGCTACCTGCTAATTCGACTCCATACACGAAGTTAGTCTCCTTCTCCCCAACACATTCCCTAGAATCTAAAGCATTGCACTTCTGGTAATCACGTGTTATACACGTGTTATTAGGTACACGCCCAGCTCTGTTGTATGTCTCTCCTGCTTTTGGTCCAGACCAGCACTCACCTTGAGAACAAACAAATCAGACAATACATCACGAGGAAGGAGCAAACATGCTGTACTGTGGGTCACCTGTGTTTACGTGAGACTGGGGTAACGTTATGTCAGTTGGTGCATAGAGCGCGACGACAGCGAGATATACATAAATAGATGACTAGATTGAACTAAAGGAGAAGCGTGCATTAATCCGATATGGGAGGACACAGGGAGCCAAAGTACCCATTTGAATGATTAATTTCTGGTCAGAGGTTTTGCGACATTCTGCATTGCTTTGATGAAGAAAACTAGAGATCATCGTTAGCCATTTTTCAGAAGGATGGCCGCGAGAATGGAAATGTTTGAAGCCATGCTAAGAGTTGTCTTTGTCTTTGTTTCACCTTTCTTCACAAACATATCTTTGATTATTGTTCATTTCTCCGCCAATATAAAGTATGTTGAACACACAATCGGTTATGCAGTAGATTAAATTGGTACATTATAAACCGTCACTGATTTTTAATTTGGGTGTTACACCAAACTTAACTATGACCACGCTAAAGAGAATCGTTGACTAAAAGTTGCCTAAATTCAAGAGTAATGAGATTCAATGATTTTCAAGAAATTTATCCTGTTTTAACGTAATCATGAGGTTCAGTGTAGCTTAAATGTCGTTAGCATGAATTCCGTCCATAAAGGCCTTATTAGGTATAGACCCTCTTTAGATTCTAAAGGCGGGACTGATCTAAACAGAACTTGTAACGGATTCCCTTAGGAATGTGGCCTGTGTGGGGATTTTAAACTCTCTTGATCTTCATCAACTCGTGCACACGGTCATCACAGGTGAGTGGGTTTTTTTTCCGCATTTTGTTGTTGTTGTTGTTGAGTTCAGTGCAGTGTGGAGTTGTATGATGTGTGATGGATGTTACTCACTAACCGTAGAACTGAATGCTGAAATAGGCAAAATTGCGCAGTTTTGCTTCCTTGGCACAACGGCAGACGAGATCCTTCATGTAAAAATTCCAGTTTTTCCAGTCGACGGAGATCCTACTGTACTTCTCTGCTAATGGATCTCTGTCGGTGAAGAGTAACTCGGGGAGAGGGCGTGGGGAGCGCATGTCATCCTTAAAACACCCTACCTTGGTGTAAGTCGCAGGACAGGCTGTGGTAAAGTTCAAAATGGATGTCAATTCTAAGTCGTAGCCTTCATAATTACACCCGTAAAGTATGCCAATGGAATGTTTGACAAGTTCTTCTCCTAGCTACATAATAAGTGACAGAGAATTATTGCCATGGCTCCTCACAAAGGAGAATTATCGGCCACTGAAATTTGAAGTGTAACATTTAATCGCGCTTTTCAGTTAAAATCCAATGGCTCATTGCTGTGTTTGGTTCTTGCGAGGAAGAACTTACACTTAACTCTTAGTTACTAAAGTCATTCTATAACTAGGTAACGACCAAATGGTTGTTACCTCAGTGACCTCAGTACCCGTTGTACTGGGTCAATTATTGATACTTACTTGGGTTCTCAGGTTCTGAAGGAGGAGCAACAGATGGCGTTGGAGATTGAGGTGCTGAAACCGAAAACGTCCATAACGAAAATACAATGAGAAACTGTTATAATGTTAAGAAGCGTAATTTACGTTACTTCATTTTTAATTTTAGTTTGTCTAGCGTCGCTCATTCGCGGGTCAAGGTTAGCCCACATGTATCTTGTCAAGGTTCTTAGTTTCCTTACTCGTTCTGTCTAGGAGGCTTAACTTTTAACAATTTCTTCCATTAGTGATCATGTTTGGGTTCTTCTACTGACCATATTTAGGCCCTCCGCAGAGGTTCCTGTTTTGGATTAAGTTCTTAAAGGCTAAGTGTTCTATTTGCTGCATTCGCAGAAGTCGCATGAAAGTGTTTGGGTGTATGTCCCATAAATATGTTTACTCCTCCAAGGTCTGTCGTCCTGTATTCCCACAGTAAGCCTACCAACGGGGTATTTAAGCGCGTGTGCATTTGGTAATCAATTTACAGAAGGAGATTGCCGTGCAAGTCCAAAGCCGGATTCAGCCAATAAATATTAGATTCCTGGCCCATCCTCTAGCAACTTATTGCCAAGCGCCCCAATAATTGCACTGTATGCAACTAAACAAACTGCTGTCGAGGTGTCGTTTAGTTGCGAATACCTGAGTTTTTAATCTATTTTTTTTTTGTAATACTAATCTTCAAACACATTGAGTTATGTCCTCTACTAATCAGAGAACTGGTTACTGCCAAACATAGAGCAAAAGAGAAATTGAAAAACCACAGCTCAAGACAATTTTTTTAGCTTCTCATTAGTTCAGAGATTCTTTACTTCTAAATAATATCGCTAGTGAATCTGTGATTTTCGTCGCGCTAGTTTAATAAGTGAGTCTCGGTGTTTGTCGATCTGCTGACAGTTTTAAAATGACAAAGGAAATGACAAGTTCATGTCTGTTATGTTTAAAGATCATTTCTTGGCATTTCCAGGTACGTTTCCATTTTGAACTCATTCGAACTTGAATATTATTATTTTTAATATTTTC